TGACCATAATCCTAATGATCCAACGTATCAGAATCCCAACTTTCCCTATTCCCGAAGCGAACCCTTTATGTGCTGACAAGATAATGCATCCTTCAGCTCCCGAAACAACTCACGTGAACAACCAACTAACAAGTACGAACACTCATACCTAGCCCAATCAGCCTCGGGTTGGAATACCAGGCATGCCTACGACGGGTCCAGTCATCCCTAGGATAGAATACCCTCGTATCATACACATGTTTGGGCCAATCAACCCTCGGGTTGGAATACCAAACATACTAGGTCCAATCAATCATAGGGTCCGGTCATCCTCAGGATGGAATACCCTAGATTGGAATACCTCTATGAACATAACTCATGTCTACTCATAACTTGACATCCAAGGATCTATCCTTGCGTCTCATCTACAATCCTCTGATTCGTCACAACCGAGTACAACTCCCCCGAATCTCAACAATACATCCATTCCGAACGCGCTCCTACAAGAGACATAACCATCACAATCTTTATGCCCACAACCTATGACTGGAATACCCTTACATGATCCTCAGCATAGGTCTGGATTGCTTCTGAGCCCACATCATGAGTTTGGTATGCTCTCTCCGACCCTTAACTCATGACTGGAATGCTCCCGATAACCTATCGACACCGATGTCATTACTTCAGTTGCCCAACACTCCATCCTGGAGATACTCACCTCATCCATTGCCCAAGAAGGCCTAATCAATGTCCTTCACAACACCAACAAGTGTCACGGTACTGAAACCTCACCCTACACTATCCACTTATAGAACAAGTTGCCACGCCAGAGTTTCCAAGCTCTCCTTCATAACCACCAACAGTTCCTAAGAGCATTCTATAGGTGAGAACTAGCAATCGCATAACATACGGTCCCATGGGTTATTATCACTAAACATCATACTCACTACCAGAAAACAGACCTACTGATTGCTACCGCATAACATATACTCAGTACCCGATCATATAACTAACAAAACCCATACAAAGTCTCCTGCATGTCTCGACCGCCTCAACCTAACCACTCTGGAAACCGTTATCCGAACCGCAACAGACAACATCTTCAATAGTTAACGTCCCATCCGAGAATTCCTGATTCTCCCCCACTTAGAGCACTAACCACCACCCACTGGTGGCGAAGCTGATACGCGACTTAACCGTCCCAACCGAGTATTACCATTCTTAACTTTAGAGGGGTTAACATACGCAAGACAATCCTCCTGATACGAAGTAACGAACTTCAAGAGAATCCGAATTCCCGCTGATGACCTCTAAATTTCTGAATTACAACTGCTCGTCCTAGACTGGCGATTCTCTATCCTAACTCCTTATCCTCGAATGCATCTTCGGATCCTAACCATCTACAATCCCTTGACAATAAATTCTCCCTAACCCCTCTTATGTCCTAATAACTTATGCATAAAGAAAACGAAAGCTCATAATACAATCATAAACAAATAGATAGGAGAAAAGACATACTGGTCGCCACATCAGGTACTGTCCTGGCCTCCTCGGCTGTAAGCTGGAAGGCGCATCCTTGAGCCTTCGGAGGCTCTGCTCTACCCTGACCCCCGCCAGTAATCCTTAGTGTAGCTGGCGCTGGAGCCTGCACCGGCTTGGCAGCTAGTAGGGGACACTGGGCCTTCATATGGCCCACCTGCTCACAATGGTAACAAAGCCTGACACCAGCCCCTGGATTCTGCTGCCTACAATCCTTCGCTATGTGACCCTCCTTGCCATACTTGTGGCATCCTGAAGAAGATTGACAAACCCCATCATGTACCTTGTCGTACTTTCCACAAGTACGAGCCCTCTGACTCTCCTGTCTGTAATCAGCGGCCCTAAATCATTTCGGTGCAGGCAGTGACTGCGTCGGGGCCTGTCTCTGCTCCCTCAACTGAAGCTCAATCTCCAACTCACGCCGCCAGGCGGCCTCCTGTAACTCTAGCAATGTATCACATCTCTGCGTGGACACGAACTGTATGATGTCCGTCTTGAGCATGCTCAGATATCGGGTCATTTGAGCTTGCTCCAAAGCAAACTCTGGGCAAAACATCGCCCTCTCAGTAAACATGCGGGTGATCTCCGTCACCGAATCTGATTCCTGTCGCATATCCAAGAACTCATACGCTAGTCTCTCCCGCTCAACCCGCGGGACATAACGGGTACGGAACATATCCCAAAATTGATCCCAAGTAACCGCAGCACACTGCTCATCCGAATATGATCCAGTCATCAACCTACACCAATCCTTTACTCCAGACCTCAGCAGGTTTAGAGCACACCTGACCTTCTGGTCAGCAGGACATGAACACATGAAGAAACATCCCTCCACGTCGGATAGCCACCTCATGGCTATGATCGGATCCTGAGTACCATCAAATGTCGGGGGCTTCGTGTTGTCGAAGTCTCGGTACTGAAAGGACAACTTCTCTTGTAGCAAAGAACATGCTCCTCCTTCATGCTCCTCCTTCATGAGTCCCGTGAATAATCAATTAATCAATTGATTATTCACGAATACGAATCCATTCCCATCTTTCCTTAAAGCAAAGAACATGCTCCTCCTTCATGAGTCCCGTGAATAATCAATTAATCCCATTGGTGATGCCTCCCCATGTCCTCCGCTACACTGTACTCATCCACATCCACCATTGGAAAATCGAAAATAAATTTAATAGAGTAAAAAATAATGGGCGATTTGCTTCCAGGGGTAATTCTAATGTTTCCGCTAGCTCTAATTCTTTTGCATGTTCTTAAAGTGCTCAAGGACACAATCAAACATTTTGTGGTGGTGTTTCTGCCCTCGTTCCAACTTTGGCTCAACAACCGAGATTTCTTGGAGCTCCGCCATGCATCGTCAACTGCCAGCCACAACTATCTGCTGCTAGCGGTTTTCAGCAGCCCTCGGCTGCTACTTTTGGTCTCCATCAGCGGCAGTACTCCGCTGCTAGTGGTTTTATGAGACATGAACTTGATTTGGATTTGAAAAAAAATAACTGAGAGTTTCCATAGTGTTGAGAACTTGATAAATGTTGAGTCTCCAATATTCAGATAAAATTTGGGTACGAAGTATCCATGGTAGAAAATACGAAATCAAAAGAGATTAGGAATAGATAATCAAGATTAGATATTGAAGTACATCAATATTATACTCTATTTATAGAGAAAAGATTAAGAATGCTTACATTTTTTAAATAAGATAATTATAGATTTATTTAGATAATAATTTTTATCCAAAAAAAAATCTAACCATATAATTGTGTGTGTGACACGTGTAATAGATGATTAAAAAAATGGCCAACTCTCAAGTTGGGGTGTCAAGCCGGTCGGTGGAGTTTCATGATTTTGTTCTAACTTTGTAGCCAACCGACTTCACATTTATTTGCCATGCCAACGGGAATGGTCTAAGTAGCTCCCTTTAATACTTAGGTGTTGTTTGTTTTTTTTATAAAAACCTCTTCAAACCACTTATTGTTGCGCGGCGCAGCACACGCGCAGCACTTTCCATCTCGCAGCAGTTTGTTTTTTGGAAGGCTTCAGACTACAAAACCTCTGTGCGTGTGCTGCGTGGCGCAACACTTGACTTGCCTCTTCTAACCTCTTCAGCTTTCATTTTTTCCATGTGTTTTTTAAGAATTTTTGTATAACTTATTTTTTTAAACTTTGATTTTCTTAAATTTTTATTTACGGATGTGATACAATTTATTTTTATAGTTTCCACGATTATTTTTAACTTGATTTTTTTATTTTTTTTACCGTTTCTATTAATAATATTTTCAATTTCAGTTGCATTTTTTTTAACATGTGTAATTTTTTATGAACTTTGTAGACATCGTTTGCAATACTTTCTTAATTTTTTTATTATTTTCTTTTTTAATGTTTTTTAAAATTAGTTTTTTTTTCTAGAATAAAACTATTAGCTTCTTTTACATTTTTTTTAAGTTTTTTTTTTTAAAAAGTTTTGTATTTTTGTTTTTTTACATGTTCCTTTTATTATTATTTCAATGTTTTAAGACTATAATTATTAAATTTCGGTGTTGAGAACTATTTTCAGTTTATAAAATTAGTTTATTTAAATTTCAGTTTACTGCAGCAGTCTGCAGATGTTAAAAAACAAACATGCTTCTTATTATAGGCTGCAGCCGTTTGTTCCACCTCTTCTGCTACAGAGGATTGCAGAGGTGGTCCGCAGACTTCATGAATTTTCGCTTCGAAAAAACAAACAGCACCTTAGTTGCAAGGTCTGTTCGTTGATTTTTATAGGCTCCGTGCGAAGATTAAAAATGAGACCTTAATTTGACCTTTTATATATATAAAAAAAGTTAGAGACGAATTGTCACGAGGGAAACTAAAAAGTAAATTAAATTAATAAAAGATACAAATTCAAATTTATAAAAGTTGAGGGCTAAGTATGTAACTTATAGATAAAAAAAAAATTGGGAGGTGGGATAGATCGTAAAACATGGAACATAGGCTGAAAATGTAACTTGAATTAGCAATCTGTTTAAAAAATCACACCTTAAAACTCAGTTGGTTTTATGATTAAGTTTGATAAAATTATATATATATATATATATATATATATATATATATATATATATATATATATATATATATATATATATATATAATAACATTTTAACTGATAATTTGGTTAAAACTTAAAACTCAGTCCCTATTTTTCGAAGGCCTGTCCACCGCACACCCTGCACCCTGGTTAGCTAGTGGACTTCTCAGGCCTCTTTTCATGCCTGGTCGGCCTGAAGGACGGGATTGTTGCCAGCCCATCTGATGGGTCTTGGCATGGTTACACTCATGGTTGCATAGATGCACAAGAAGTGTTGGACGAAATGCTTGAATAAAAATCAATGCTCATAGCTCTGACCAGTCAACGGTTTAGAGTTTAAACTAAATTAAAGAGCTCTGACCAGGAATTTATTTCTCTAGTTCATGTCAATATCGTCCTGGCGGCTAGGCTCAAAATCAAATGTCAACTAACCAGCTGTCATATGATATCAGATATTTCTCCTATTTGTTTATGTTCGTATTTTGAAAGGACTCCATTATCTTTCTTCACTTGCAATAGTGTTAGTCATCCTGATGTACCAAGAGCTGCAGGAAACTTAAACTTTGTGTTGCCAATGACGTATTGCAGGTCATTACCATTTCTGATATTATTAATGTTGCTTAGCTTTCAAATCCTTTTAACAGCACATGAAGATCCATCTTACAAGGACATACAGGTGGGAGTGATTCTTGACATGGATTCATGGGTTGGGAAGGTCGTTTATAGTTGCATCACCATGGCTATTTCTGACTTTTACAGAACCAATCCTCACTACACAACAAGGATAACTTTTACAACCAGGGATACCAAAGGAGAACCCCTGCTTGTGTTGTCCACTGGTGCAGTCTTTTTTCTTATTTTTAGTTCTTTGTTTTTTGTAACCTTTATTAATTTTTTAAACTAATATACTGTTCATCGACATTCAGCTCTTGATCTATTGGAGAACACTGAAGTGCAAGCGATAATAGGTCCCGAATCAACAGCTGAAGCAAGATTCTTGGAGGTTTTGGGAGACAAAGCTAACGTACCGATTCTTTCCTTTTCAACAACTCCATTTTCAAATCAGAATCATAATCTTCTTCAAATCGCAGATGATGAAACCACTCAGTTCAAAGGCATTGCTGCCATGGTTGAATCTTTTAAAGCAAAGAATGTGATTGTTATCTGTGAGGACACTGAAAACGGGAGAGAAATGGCTACTTATATGGCTAGAGAGTTTCAAGAGAAAAACATACACGTTACATATACTAGCCTAATCTCAACCTGTGCTAGCAAAGAACAAGTAAGTGAAGAGCTTCACAAACTTCAAACTATGCAAGCCATGGTTGTTGTCATGCATACACCTGCTTCTCTAACAACTGGTATTTTCTCCAAAGCAAAAGAGTTGGGCATGATGGATGAAGGATACATGTGGATCATAACAAGCAAGACTACCAACTTCTTGGATTCCATGGATGCTGAAGCAATCAAATCAATGCAGGGGGCTGTGGGTTTCAGATCGTATTTTCCAGCATCAAGAAAGCTTCATAACTTTGTTTCGAAATGGAGAAAGGAACATTTTGCTTTGGACCCGTTTATGGAGTACAAGGAGGTAGATTCTAATGGTATATGGGCATATGATGCAGTTTATGCACTCGCCATGGCTATTGAGAAGGTACATACAACCCTAATTGGCATGTCTTCATCAATCCGTGCATCACTTTTAGATGAGATGTTAAGAGTCAAGTTCCATGGTTTAGGTGGTGAATTCAAGCTTATGAATGGGAGAACAATCACCAAAGCCATGGAAGTGGTGAATGTGATTGGTAAGGGTGGTAGGAGGGTAGGGTTCTGGATGATGGCTAATGGTGCTGAGTTTGTGAAAGAAATAGGAAAACAGAATTCCACTTCCAATCATGGCCTGGAAAGTATGATTTGGCCAGGAGGGAGTACTGCAACATTTCCAAAGCGTAGGATTCTAGAAACAAATGGCAATAAGAAGCTGAGAATTCTGGTTCCAGATTTCGGCACATTCCCTAGTTTACTACAACTTACTGTTGATCCGAAAACAAATATATCGGGTGTGAGTGGGTTTTGTGGGGATGTTTTCAATGCTGCGTTCATTGCCTTGGATTGTGGAGTAGGCGTTGAGATTATTCCATACCCTTATAAGGATGGAATGAATTACAACGATCTAATCAACAAAATCTATCTTAAGGAATATGATGCTGTTATTGGGGATATAACTATCACAGCAAATAGATCTGTCTATGTGGACTTCACATTGCCCTTCAGTGATCTGGGAACTGGCACAATAGCCCGAAATGCCAAGAAAAACATGTGGATTTTTCTAGATCCTCTTAGTGCAGATCTTTGGATCACAAGTGGTTGTTTCTTTCTTTTTTTAGGGTTTGTCATTTGGTTTATCGAACATCGTATAAACGAAGAATTTCAAGGTTCAGCAGGACAGCAAATTGGAACAACTCTCTGGTTTGCCTTTTCGACCCTTGTGTATGCTCACAGTAAGCTCTTGAACTCTTTACTCCAATCTCATTTTACTTAAAGATTTGATCTTTTGAACCTTAATATCAATCTTCACCTTTCTAACAAACACCCACAAAAACTTGATGATTCAGGGGAGAAGTTGCAAAGTAATCTATCAAGATTCGTGGTAACTGTTTGGGTTTTCGTAGTGCTTGTTCTCACGTCAAGTTACACTGCAACTTTGAGTTCAGTTTTAACTGTACAACAGATTGGAATGCATCAGATATCTATCGGATTCCTGGGTGTTTCATTCGGAGGAGCTGCCTTTAACAACTTGAACTTTGGGGGTGCCAAAATTGAAAACCTATATACACCCGAGGCCTACGCAAAAGCATTAACAAGTGGAAGTGTTGATGCAATCATCGATGAGATCCTTTACATCAAAACAGTCCTTGCAATGTATCCAGCTTCTGACTTTTCGTTGATAGCAACAGCATCCACCACCAATGGTTTTGGCTTTGTAAGTGTTCTCTCTATATATAAGAATCTTAATCCTTTTGGCTTCTTCCATCACTCTACTTGGATCCTCTTTTACATGTCTGATGTTGCCAAGTTTGTAGGCATTCCAGAAAGGTTCAGCCTTGGCAGGAGAGATGTCGACTGAGATAGCAAAAATGCGGGAAGACGGGACATTGAAAGCATTAGAGGATAAATGGTTAAAACTTCAATCTGCATTGATGCCAAAGGATTTTTCTTCTCCTTCACCCAAAATCTTGAATCTTTATGGGTTTCGTGGTCTCTTTCTTATCAGTGGTGTGACAATGGCATTTGCCCTTTTGGTGTCCATGGTTCGTATTGTTCGTGAAAAGTTTCATGTCAAAGTTCAAATGCAGATATGGAGTCGCCTCTTAAGAAGATCTTTCGATATACATGCACAAGATAGTGATGCAGAATCAACAGTTTGACTTATTCATATAATATTAAATAGGATTCACTCTACTTGACATCTTGTATAGATCAGTCTTTGTATCAAGTATATGTACAGGTTTCACTTTTTCTGAACTTAGCTTGTTAGCTATTTTTATTGAAAAACAGATCTCCTAGTTCCATAATTCCAAAGTTTAAAAGGACCCGGTTAGAGTCATACGGAAAGATTCGGCTTCACTTGTCCAAAACTACGTTTTACTAATGAAAAGATTGTGTGGCTAAATGTAGCTCTACTTGTTAGTAATTACAACTGTAGATGTTGTCTTAATTAGCCAAATTATAGGAGATTCATCATAAGAATCCTTCCTTTATACATGTTGTCATAATTTAATTAGTCAAGTTATAGAAGATCAATCATAGGACCATAGGAGTAATCGTAAGAATCCTATCAAGAGATAAGATATACTTCATATATGTTGTATATTTTGCTTATTAATTAGTCGATCACAGCTGTATATTTCTACACATTTTCCTAGCGGTGTTAATCGGGTAAATTTTTCGGGTGTCGGGTAATTCGGGTTTTCCATATTAAAAAAATTACCCGTTACCCTACCCAAACTAAATTCGGGTAATTCGGGTAGTGGGTCGGGTAAGGGTAATTCGGGTATTACCCGATTTTATTATTATTATTTATTTTTATAATGGCACCTAAAAATAAATTTAATGAAATAAGTATGTTGTGCTCAAACTTTGAACATTGAGATTTTTTACTCAATAATATTTGAGATATCAAGTATTCGGTGGTCAAACATATTCTACCAACATTTTTTTTTAATAAAGTCACGAATTTTTTCTTTTTTGTCTACAAACAATTGGTAGACATCCGTTGTGTTTGTACTTTTACATGGAACTTTAAACAATGGTTGAGTAACACTATGGTAATACCTAAAGCCTGCACCTTCTACAAAGCTAAAAGGAAGTTCATCAACTACCAACATGTGAGCTAGAGCTTTCCGACTCTCATTTTGATCAAATTTTCAAGCTGACAATTTGTTTTCATTACCATATTGGAAAGCTAGTTGTGTTTGCCCACCACTAAGTTTAGCCAAGTAAGGTTTATATTTAGTTAAATGATAACCTATATTTTGGTCACATAACCACCTGATTCGCGGTTGTAATTCCCGCCACCACAATGCTTACATTTGCATCTTTGAACACCCTTTTCGTCCTTATACCTTTCAATTTCTTTCCAAACTTTCGATCTTGGGTTGAATTCTTTAGTTTTTTTCTCTTTTTCTTGTAGAACTTGATCATTGGTTGGGTTGTCAACTTCAATCATCTCATCTTCCACTTCAATATAGTCATCCGTTTTTGACATCTAAAACAAGAAAAAAAACATTAAAACTGTTAAAAAACATAAAAATCAGGAAAAAAAACAGGAAAAAAAAAATTATAAACAGGAAAAAAACAGATAAACTGCTGATGGATAGCATATTTCATCAATAATAGGCTAGCAAAATATTTCAATGAAAATATGAATAGCATATTTCTTAATTTAGAAGGCTGAGATAAATTTTGAAGAAATTGTCCAGTTATGTATTTGACCTCTTTTAACTGTTTTACTCGAAATATAATTTCATTTGCTTATTCTTATATTATAAACATAATGTTTTATGAAGTACTTCTCATCACCCAACGTATTTTTGTTACCAATTAAATATTATATCGATATGCACAATGTACTTTTCCAAGGGTCGTAATAGACAAGGTAACGAGGTATCATCATTAAATCAAACCATGCATTCCATGCCACACAACCCTTTACTTTAAACTCCATACATATGCTAAATTACTTATTTAGCCATCGTACTTTCAACTTGTTGCCAAATGGTGCCATAACTATATAGATATATTTTTTTATCATATCATACTACCCTTTGGGTTCTTGACACCCACTTATGATTTTCACGACTTGAGAGTCTCAGCAATTTAAAAGTACTCGACAATTTACATATATTTTCATATATGCTTCATGACTTAATTTTTAGGGTCTTACAAGCAACACCTCAAATAACATAAAAGTGCTCAAGACCCCAATACAAAGTTCAAAAAAATTCAGCAATAATTGTGGATCAAGCTCTCTCAATTCTATAGTAAAACCCACCAATTTATCCACAGAAGAGTATCATCAGATTTGGAAAACAAATATAACCGAACGAAAGCCAAAACAAATAATACTATTAGTTTCCCAAACACACACAGACATAGGGCCATATCGCCATGCCAAGCATAATCAAGATGAATCCCAACAAATTATAAACTGTAAAATAAAAGCAATGCTTTTGCTTTTGCTTTTTCTTTAAAGCGACAAGAGCCTCATTCAAAGTTGCACTAGTTTTCTAATTTTCTATGTCAAAAAGAGAATCAGTTGGTTGTTATAACTTACATTTGAGTTTGAAGTTCAAATCCGTGATTTTTTCCTGAAGTGGTGACGAGCTGAAGTGACGCTGCGACGAGCCGACGAACACCTGATGACCGGCGAGGCGGCGACGAGCCGATGACCACCTGAAGACCAGCGAGGAGGTGGCGACGACCAGCTGAAGTTGATCGACGGTGACGAACGAAGAGGCAGACAAGGGTTTTTTGACGTAGAGAAAATAGAACGAGGGAAATTGGGTTGTGATTTGGGAATTGAGACGGATAAAAGGGATATTGGGCCATTATTTGTTATATATATTTCGGGTAATTCGGTTATACCCGAAACCCAATACACTTACCCTTTACCCGACCTGAAAAAAATCGGGTTACCCAAATACCTGAAAAAATTAACCCGATACCCGATTAACCCGACACCCGATTAACCCGACCTGAATTACGCGATACCCGAAAAAATCGGACGGATAATTCGGGTAACGGGTATTTTCGACAGGGCTACATTTTCCTATTACGTCTCCGGTTTGTTAGCATACATTGGTATATATGCCATTTTTGTGTACTCGTGTATTATAATGCAATCAACATACAATTTCAGAATCATTTATTTATATGGTACTAGTTTATAACCCGTGGGAACAACGGTTATAAAATTAATTAAACTTTTATAATAAAAATTTATAATCAATTATTTTAAATAAATTATTAATTAAGAGATATATCAAAATTTTAAAGTTATTATAACTTCAAATTTAACATATAATTAGAAAATATAAATTTGAATTTTGATATGAGTTGTCTAATATATCTACATGACACATGACATAATATTAATGAGGAGTTGTATTAGAGTGACACTTGGCAAAAGGAGATTAAAACTATTCATTTATTAGAATAGGGATCAGAGCATATTGCTCTAACGAGTATCTTCTGATCCTCTTCACAATTAGCCCTAATTTCCCTCTTTCTCTATTACGGCTCATCGATGGCTACCAAACAAATCACGACTGCCACTCATCTCAACACCAAACTCACAACCCACAACTATCCAATGTGGAGAGAACAAGTTGAATCTACTCTTATCAGCCTTGCACTTGAAGATTTCATCATCGGACCTTCCAAACAACCAGACAAGCTGGTCAACGACAAGGATGGGAAACCAATACCCAATCCATAATACCTCTCATGGTATCGCAAAGATCAGATGATCTTTAGTGCAATTATAGGGAGTTGTTCCGACTCTATTTAACCACTCATCTCCTCAACCTCTACTACTCGAGAGGCATGGGATCGACTGAACTCGAGCTTTGCCTCATCCTCAAGGTCTAGCATCATTTCTTTAAAATCCAAACTTCCCAAAAACCCAAAAGGAACTCACTCTATTACAGAGTTTCTTCAGGAGATGCGAGCAATAGTGGATGATTTGGCTCTTGCCCAAAGTCATGTATCTGAAGAAGACCTCATGGGCATATCCTCTCTCAACTTGGTGACAATTACCGCACCATTGTTGTTGCAATTAAAGTAAGAGACGCCCTACTCTCCCACGCAGAACTATTTGACAAACTCACTGACTATGAGCGGGTTCTCAAGGAAACCCCGTCCACTCTTGAATCCATTCCGACTACAGTCAATTACACCTCTCGTAACCAAGGGTTCAATTCTCGCACCAATAACTATTTCTCCACTAGGGGAAATCGATCCCACTCCTTTAGCCAATCAAATGGGGGTCCTCAGTCCCAATGGTCTGTTACTCATTCTATTGGTAATCATTTAACAGAAACAACAATTCTATCAATTTTGCAACATCCCAGGACACCTCACAAGGGATTGTCGCAAGCTAGCTCGTTTTCTGAGAGACAATATTATGTCCACTAACTCTACCAAATCCACCCCACCTATTGCCAATATCACGACATCAGCTCCTCCATCTCCCTCGTGGCTTTTTGACACCGGTGTTTCCAATCATGTAACTTCTGATCGGAACAACCTTCACAATGTATCATATCAGAGTATGGTGGTCCAGATGAAATTGTCCTTGGTAATTGTACAGGTTTATCTATTTCACATATTGGTAACACACGCATAAATACACCTTACAAAAAATTGTTACTGCCCAATTTCTTACATGTACCATGCTTACACCGAAATCTTGTTTCTGTCTCTCAATTATGTGATACTAACCAAGTTTCGGTGGAATTCTTTCCATCCCATTTCTTTGTGAAGGATCTGTGTATGGGGGTGCGTCTAATGCGATGAGAGAAAACTAAAGGGGTCTACCATACACACTTACCTCCAAAGCTCAACCTCCATGCTACTGTCAAGAAATCACCTCTCAACCTTCATCACCAACTCGGTCATCCATCTCTTCAAGTTTTCAAATCTATCACTTCTAAGTTAGGTCTTAGCTCAAATTTTGCTTCCAATGTTCATTGTCCTTCATGTTCAATTAATAAAAGTCATAAATTTCCCTTTGGTTCAAATTCTTTTGTTGCAACCAAACCACTTCAACTTATTTATGTAGATGTATGGGGTCATGTTCATCAATACATAGACAAATTCACTTACTATGTCATTTATGTCAATTATTTTACCAAGTACACCTGGTTGTATCCCATGCAACATAAAAGTGATGTTGCCAAAATATTTCCCCAATTCAAGGTACTTGTTGAGAAATACTTCCAACACTCCATTATCTCGTTATATAGTGATAACGGTGGTGAGTGCAAGGTCTTCTACCATTTCTCCAGTCTCATGGCATTTCACAT